AGTACAAACCAAAGTTTTGGAGTTGGGAAAAAGGTTAATTTATTTTGAGGGAATAGAGAGATTACCAGAATCTCCTGTTGAATGAAGTATTCTAGTTGACAAAGTTGAATGGAGTACAGTCAATTTAGACATTCTCATACAAGCACTGAGTCTTCTGAAATATTTGTGATGAAACTGTTTTAGAATGATTAACTGTTTTGCTCTGGAAAAAAAAACAAACAGAAGGAACATAGAAAATATAGGCATTACATAATGCCTGTTTGGACTTGCTTTTTAAAAAACAACTAGAGATATGTGAGAACCAAGAACCAATGGGTCCCAAGAGACTAATCGTAACTCTAATAGAAAGATACACAAAAAAGCTAACGTGACCACATAATGAAACTGCCTCTTTTCCAGTGGAATGTGCATATTTCAATGTTAGTATAAGCCAGATGGGAACAGCCTTTGTTCTAATAAGGTCTGATGATAGTATGTATATTTAAAATATGTCACAATTACACACCCACTCATCTTCCTGTAGACAGCAGTAAAGAACTGCTGCTGACAATTTCAAGCACAACTTATCTTCCCTACAGAACCATTTTGATCTTCCCCTTCATTCACTAGAGTATCAAATAAAACCAATGTTCCCAGTACACAGCAGGGTTCTGAGTCGTGAAAATAATGGAAGTTAGCTGCCATTAATTACCATTCTATGAGTTGATACTGATAGCTAGAATTAAATATTATATATGAATTATGAAGACAAATCATTTTAACTAATTTAAACTCCTGTTTAGAAACAACATATTCAGTGTTTCCATTGATATTAATGTGTCTTATAAAAAATAAAACTGAGCCGGGCGCGGTGGCTCACGCCTGTAATCCTAGCACTCTGGGAGGCTGAGGCAGGCGGATTGCTCGAGGTCAGGAGTTCGAAACCAGCCTGAGCAAGAGCGAGACCCCGTCTCTACTATAAATAGAAAGAAATTAATTGGCCAACTGAATATATATATAAAATTAGCCGGGCATGGTGGCGCATGCCTGTAGTCCCAGCTACTCGGGAGGCTGAGGCAGTAGGATTGCTTGAGCCCAGGAGTTTGAGGTTGCTGTGAGCTAGGCTGACGCCACGGCACTCACTCTAGCCTAGGCAACAAGCGAGACTCTGTCTCAAAAAAATAAAATAAAATAAAATAAAATAAAATAAAACTGTTTTGAGAACTATGGGATAGAGATTAATTTAGGGATGTCATCTTCAACTTTTCATCAGCTCTCACTCACATTATCCTTTCAAATGCTATCCTTGTATTTCAAGTACAGGGTTTTAAAAATGTTTATTGGAAATATGCACAAAAATTGAAAATTTAAAGTAGAATAAAGAGTATATGATGAAAAATAAACCTCCATTCTATTCAAGACTTCCAGTCATCTTCCACGAGGTAACCACTATTACTGGATTTGTATGTGTTCATCTTTCCAGAAATAATTTCTCTCTCCTCTCTCTCTCTTTCTCCTCTCTCTCTCTCTCTCACACACACACACACAGGTAACACTATATACCCTATCAATAATGCCAAAACAGTATTTCTATACAAACTATTACTTAAGAGAGAAGAGTATTCCAATGTATAGATGAATGTGTACCACTTTTCATTTAGTGAGGCATTTAACTTGGTCTTAGTTATTTTCACATGCAAGGATCTGTTACAAACAATATCTTCTTACCTATAGTTTTACATATTTTACTTTGATACACCTTCAGTGTACATTCTGAAAAAGCAATTGCTCAAAAAATAAATGCATTTTAAATTTTAGTATTTTCAATTGGTTCCCCAAAGAGGATGATTCAATATATAATTCTATCAAAAAATCAAAGTGTATTTACAAAGAACTACATGAGGCAAGGAAGAAAATTATCTATTTTATGCACATACAATATTCCCATGAGCGAATATTTCTAAGACAGTTAAGTAATTCTGTTAGTAAATAACTTCAGTGAAATTAATCAGTTTATCTGGCTATTTTGGATTTGATAAGTATCACTGCATGATACTTTTGATTGTTTAAATTCCAAATGTATCAGACCAAATGTCAATGACATATGGTATACAGTTATTTAGTTTAGCAATTGCATAGAAAAACAATCATAAATGATGACTCATTTTCCCCTTTCATTGTGTGTATGTGTATAATTTCAATTTCAAAGACTTTAAAAACATATACCCTTTAATTTAGATCTGAAAATGTGTCATTTATTAAATAAAATCAGTTGTACACAATTCTTAGACATTGCCATCCCCAAAGTAATTTATTGCATCTAATTTTAGAGGAATCTCTAAATCTAGCATTAGAGTTCCATAATCTTAACTCACTGGATAGGCTAACAAAAAGAAATAAAATCTCTATTGGATTTAGGTTTCAATGTAGTTGATCGGTACCTAGGAAGTTGGACAATTATTATCAAAGAATTTCCTTCCTTATAATCCCCAGTAGGTTGCTTCATGAGGACCTCTAATTCTTGACTAAGAATTTTAATATTCTAAACATACCACATAGTGGTACACAAACAGGATATAATATTTTATGAAATGCATTTAATGTAAAAATTCATTCCAAGTGTTCTTAAAGCACTAAAACAATAATTAAAGACAATAATAAATATGAATTCACAAAAATATATGGTCAATTCCAAGTGACATGTATGCTACTTATGGTTTAAATTTAAATTTTAATATGTAGGTATCAAATTTTGGCCATAAGTTGGACTAATTATTTCCAAATATATTTCCATAAATGATATTTATTTAGGATGATATGAGATAATTATGATATGCATAAATGTACTCACACACATTTAGACAAAGATTCTCAGCTCTTCATATCAAATTCAGTCAAATAATGTTTAATTTAGTACTAATAACCTTAATTCTGGGAAGATCTGTTTGATCAATAATTTAATTTTCTAGTGCCCAAATGTGTTTATGTAATGATGTGCATGCACTTGAGTACAGCATGAAAGCATGTATATACAACATATGACTATATGTTGCTTAGTAGAGTAAAACAGAAATCTGTTTGCTCATGTGGATAAAAGGTTTGGCTCAAGTTTTATCACAATTACATGATTTGTTTATGTATTTTTTAGGCTATAGTCAACATTCAAAGAAAATAAGAGTCTATAGATTAATAAATGAGGCTTTTTCTTATTTCTATGATGTTTTTCCTCCTGTGTTGTTCTGTTCTGGTCTCTTATCACAGTGTTTTCTCAAAATTCACTTTCCTGCAGAGCATCTTATAGAGACACCTAGTGGTAAAAAGTGGTAGTGACTTCTCAAGCCATCCTTAATGTTGAGTTAATGGTAGAAAGTTTTCATCTTTTATTTATTTGAACCACAAAAGATAATCTGGAATATTAGCATAAGTGTTTCTAACAAAACTATAACCTAAGTTAATTTCAAATACATTTAATAATTCTTATTTTAATTAAGTTTATTTTAATTAGGGCAATAAATATTTAAAATAAATAATACAAAACCCAAAATTAAACTTTGATATTAAATGCAATTGTGAAGATTTGGGAAAATAATAAAATAATGAAATATAACGATGTCTCAGCTATTTTGAGAATTCCAAAAATTGATTAAGACATTTTATGAGCTTTTAGAACTTCTATACAGTTAACCAACATTGAAAATTTCTTTCTTATAGGACTCAACATTTATATGTCAAAGGTTTCTAGGTATAATTAATATGTACTTTTTAATTCAAATATTATACTTCGTTTTGAAGAAATAAAAGTGATTTTACACTTAAAAGTAAATTTTGTAAAATGTTTATATCATGTTAGAAGGTCATGTACAAATGAAAAATACAGTAACAAATCTTTTATGGATGAAGTTAGTTATTTCTGTTCATATAATGTACCTGTAGCTAGTGGATATCATTTCTAGGCCAGACACTTCTAAATGTAACAGAAACTTTTAATACAGAATTTAATTTCCATTATCTGACCTTACATATTACTTCTTTTTCCCCTTCCCCTTGTACATGACCAAAACTTAAACAATTATTCTTAAATAAAGTATTTATGCATAAGTAAAAAATATTTGCACCGCAGATTCAGAGGAAATACCAAAAATGTTGCAAAACCTCAGAAGACTGCAATATACACCACCTCTAGATAAATACTTCTGATTTAACATATATAGATTATGTAGAAAGATGAATTTCTTGGAGATACATATACACACACACACTGAGATTTTATATATATATCAAATCAGAATCTATATTAAGATTAACCATATGTTTAACCAGAAGATTATAACCACAACAATATCCTAAACATTACTAAGAATAAGACAATATCAATTATGTTTAAGACATAATTAATTCCAAAACAAAATGGATAAAATACGTTTACATTGTGAAACTACCCAGTTATCAAGGAAACAGGCACATGTGCACTCAGCCAGCATTGGGCCACTTATGATCAACTTTTTTTTTTTGTAGCTGGGATAGAATGCAGGTTTTAATAGTACAAACACTAAAAACATGTTTTATGGGGGTAGAAACCTCCTTTTGGGGAGGAAGGTGTCTGATTTCACAGAAAGAACCAGGAATACTTACTGTAGAGATGACGCTAGTGGAGTTTAGCAGGTGACTCTTCAAGAAACTCGCTACCGAAACTGCATTTATTTGGGGGTTTTCCAGCTTTTTAGTACACACCAAATGTATTCACAAACATTCTCTCTAAAAAGTCGTTCACATTCCCTTGTATTGCCCAGACATAACTATAAAACGTAATTCTTAAAAAAAAAAAAAAAAAGTAGAGCCCTTGTTTGCAGCTAAGATGAACCACTCCCTCTTCCAGGGTCCTTTACAGTAAGTACATGAGACAGCAGCAGCATGGGCTCTATTATTCTAAATGGCAGCAGGACGGCAGGCGAGCAGCACAGGGCTGGAATCATCCGTCCCTGACCACCACCAAGCCTGGCACTGTCGGGGTTATTTCCACTCCTCCCTTTCCCAGTCCGAAGATTGCACCGTCCCACGCTTGTATTACGCACGAGGTCCAAGACTCCTCCGTCTCCCACGGCTGTGAACATCCAAGGGGGGCTCCGGTTGCGCCGCCCTAGCCAAGGGACATCTTCGCCCTCGGCTGCCATCTATCGGCCACCGGGCGCCCGCTTCGCCCCGGGCCCATCATGTCTGCTGCAGCTTGGCTCGCACCAGCGGCGCGACAATAAACAAGTGCCCCGGACCGGGCCCTGCACCCGCTCCGGAGCAGACGCCCTAGAGACCCGGGTGATGCTTACCGCGTCGCCACCTCCTCTGCGCCGGGGAGGAAGACGCGACTTTCTCTGAGTTTTTTTTTTTTTTTTTTTTTGAGCCACCGGGCTGCCAGGACACGCCACAGGCGTAGAACGCTGTTCCTACCCCCCAGACTCCCCAAAGGATGTCGGAGATAGAGAGTTCCAAATAATGACGATCGTGCGCCGCATCTGGGGAAGGGATAGAGAAAAAACCCTGCAAAGACCGTGAGGGAGGAAACGGCCAGAAGGACGCGAGAGCCTTTCAAATACTAATTAGGGGCCGCGGCGGCGGCGGGCTCGGCGCGGGGACAGCGGTGGCGGGATCCCGGCGCGGTGGTCGCCGCCGCACTGGGGGCGAAGACAGTGCAGGAGCTGCAGCCGCCGCCGCCGTAGCAGTCGAGGGGCCGGTGCCACCTCCGCTCGCCCCCTCACTACCATGTACAGTGTGCGCTGCAAGAAGAAGGCGGGAGATCCATGCACACCCACGCGACCCGCTTCCTCCGGCTCGTCCCCGGGCGTGCGCCACTGACCAGGGGGGAATGTGGTGAAGACGGCGAGGAGGAGAGCCGAGGGGGGAGGGGAGGGCCGGCCGGCCCGCACGAACCCAGGCCCGAGGGCGCGGGGAGCCGGAGGTGGCTGGAGGGGGCGGCGGCCACAGCTGGGTCGGAGAAAGTTGCCCCCTGTGCAGATGGGAACTGTAAGTACCCGCCTGGGGGGGCTGCAGCGAAGGGTGCCGGGGGCCCCGCGATCGCGCCGTAGCACGGATGGGAGCGAGTGTGCGAGCGGGCGTGAGTGTGAGCGGGTGCGAGCGCTCGGCGGGGCTGACCGTCACGTTGGTGGGGCCGGCGGTGCCAGGCAGTCTTCTCCACGTCCCCCTCCTCCCGCTCCGTGCCTCCCCTCCCAGCAGCTCCCCCTCTCCGCCCCGCCCGGCTCCTGCTCCGGGCCCCTACCGCGAGGCGCCTCTGGAGCAGGTCCTCCGCCGCCCCCTCCCCCTGCGCTCCCATCCCGCCGCTCTCCCTCGCCCCCCGCTCCCCGCCCCCCCAACCCTGCTGCCCGCTCCGACTCCCGCGGAGAGAGCCGGGGAGAGCCGTGTGGGGAGCCCCCGAACCCGCGGTCGCCGCCGCGGCGGCCGGGGGCTGGCGGTGTCCAGGCGCCTCTTTCCTCCAGCCGCTCGGACCGCACTGTTCCCTGCCTGCTCGCCCCGCCTGGGTTTCAGAAACCCAGTGCACACCCCAAAGAGATTTTTTTTTTAAGGGTGGCTATGATGACTGGGCCCTGGAGATGTGAGACGGGGTAAGTCTGTCGTTTACTTTGCAAAAGAGGTTCGTGTGTGTGCGCGCGCGTGTGTGTGTATGTGTGTGTGACGGGGTGGCTTTCTTTCCCTCTCCTCCCTCCCCTTCTTCCTCGCTTTTCCCTTCCTTCTCTTTGGGGCGGGCTGGGGGAGGGGGAAGCCTCGCGTCCTGGAACTCCGGGTGCTTCTTCTGCCTGGGCGGCCGTTCGAGGAGCAGCTGTGCCCGGAGCCGCGGGTCCGGCCTGGGTGCTGGGCTCCAGCCCCAGCGGCTCCATTCTGCTTAATGCAGGGATGTTCAGGGAGGCGATCCAGTGTCTAAATTCTTTGGGGGAAAACAAATACAGTCTCCCGCCCCCGCCCTCCAAAAAAAAAAAAATCTGATAATCTGAGAATGTGCGGCGCAGTCTCGCATTTGCATCGGAGGTGCGTTTCCCAGTCAGAATGTCAGCCTTCCCTGGCTCATTCAACTTTATTTTCTCAAATTTTTGGTCTCATTTGATGGCAAGGAGGAGGGGAAAGGGAGTGGGGTGAGAGGAAGCTCTTCAATCCTTGCTAACCAGAACTGAATTAAAGTTGTAAACGCTCGAGTTTAATACTGGCTGGACACAATTTGCAATGGGCTCTCAGATGGGGTGGGAAGCGAATGGGGGCGGGGAAGCACAGGGAGGGAGGGGAAGGGGACCCAACCCCGCTGAATGGATGAGCAGATTTGATCCAGCGGAGAACCGAAATTTCAAGGTAAACGTTTTTGCTTTCAGTAAGGGATGTTTTTGACGCTTTTAAGCTGGGAGACATTTGCTGTTGCATCGGGAGGTCGAGGATACTTGGCGAGGTTTATACGCTGTGGTTCCGATTCGTCTCGACACGTCTGGGTGGCCACACGTGAATGATTCCAAGGCACGCTTACACATGTGCGTGTGATTGCAGGGGCGTTTAATAACGCAGGCTGGAGTCGACTTGGGGATCAGGAGCGAGGTCTCCAGGCTTGAACCCGTTGCCTCAGAAACGTCTTGGCTTTAGTTTGGGCTTGTGCTTCGACATCAGACTTCGGTGGTGAGGCAAATGCAAGGTTGACCAGAGAAACGGCATAGGTTCCCAGAGCCCAGCATTAATATCCAGTGCCCACCCCCCACTCCGCCGCCCCGCTAACCAACGCAGCACACACTCACACACACTCGCTCGTTCCATTTATGTCCTTCCTTTAAGACACTTATTCCATTTCTGTCGTTCCTTTAAGAGTGCTGCTGTTGACCAGAAGTAGGAAGTCGAAGGAAGCCTTCAGGGGGACAAAAAGAAAGCAAGAAAGAAAAGGGGGGAGGGGGTCGAACTGATTCCTTAGAAAATGAAATTTGGATATTAAAGCACTGACCTAAGTCACTTGCTGTCCTCCCTCCCTTCCGCCTTTCTATTTTGCCCCTTAATCAGCTCAGGTGCCCTTTCCCTGAGAAAATAAAAAAGAAGGGGGGGGGGAAGAGCGTTGAAAATTAAATGTAATAATAAGCAACTCCAAAGATGGGGATGCTGTTGTGGTGGTAGTTGAATCCGAACCTTGCTAATTTAGGAGGGTTAGTTTCGCATACCGTGGCAAGTAGACGCGGAACCCAAGGTAAGGGAGGCTTTGGCGCTGGTCCTTGGTTTACTTTTGGCTGATTCCGAGTAAGCGGCAGGAACGTCCTTTTCAAACTCAAGGTATCAGGAGGTGTTCTGAGATTGCGGATGCCTTCGCTGAGTTCTTTGTAATCCATGGTGCAGAACTATTTCAGTGGCTTAAAGATGCGGTTTGGTAGCGTCGCTGACATGATCAATGAGAAGTAGTCGCGGGGCGCTCTCAGGGAAGCGCTGCTAAGTGGCACCGTGCATGCAATTAGGACGCTGATGTGCTTAACAGCGTGCTAGTGAAGTCCACCATCAAAGCAACCGCGCTCTCCTTTTTCTCCACACTCAAAGCACCAAAAGACAATTGGTGATTTAAGAGCTTCTTCAGGCTCCTTTTGATGCATTATCTTACACCCTTTTTGCCTCTGGAAAGTATTCTTTAGGTTCCCACCCTGACATTTCTAGGGAGGGTTTAAAATAGCCCAAGTATTGTAGCTCCTTGCCTTTCTGTGAAAATGGGAGTCCTTAATGGTGAACTGTTAACTGAAGAGGTTCTGACAGAAAGGAAGGGGGGCCGGGTATAGGTGAGGGTGGGAAACCTTGTAAAATGGTGCTTCTTTTCTCTTAAATTAGAACCATGAAACTAAACTGACAGCCATTTTATGTATATTTATGGATTGATTTCGAAAAGGGGGGAGCAGAGAAGAACACGAAAATGGGACTTTATTTAACCTGCCCTTATCTTATAAAGAGCAGCATATTTGTGGTGTGCTCATTATAAAATGAAATCAACCTTTAAATCAAAATGAATATGAGATTTTAATAAAATCTGGAGAATGTCAATGTTCCACTGGTGGGGGGGGGGTGTCATTTATATCCCCTTCTTCTGGATTTCAGAGTCATAGTATTAAGGCAGAGAGACAGATTATCTAACTGATTCCTGAAATTTTTGTCATATTCTGTTGTTTCCTTGTTTCCTCTCTCCCTTACAGGAGGTAAAATGCACACTTGCTGTCCCCCAGTAACTTTGGAACAGGACCTTCACAGAAAAATGCATAGCTGGATGCTGCAGACTCTAGCATTTGCTGTAACATCTCTCGTCCTTTCCTGTGCAGAAACCATCGATTATTATGGGGAAATCTGTGACAATGCATGTCCTTGTGAGGAAAAGGACGGCATTTTAACTGTGAGCTGTGAGAACCGTGGGATCATCAGTCTCTCTGAAATTAGCCCTCCTCGTTTTCCAATCTACCACCTCTTGTTGTCTGGAAACCTTCTGAGCCGTCTCTATCCCAATGAGTTTGTCAATTACACTGGGGCTTCAATTTTGCATCTGGGTAGCAATGTTATCCAGGACATTGAGACTGGGGCTTTCCATGGACTACGGGGTTTGAGGAGATTGCATCTGAACAATAATAAACTGGAACTTCTGCGAGATGATACCTTCCTTGGCTTGGAGAACCTGGAGTACCTACAGGTCGATTACAATTACATCAGCGTCATTGAACCCAATGCTTTTGGGAAACTGCATTTGTTGCAGGTGCTTATTCTCAATGACAATCTCTTGTCCAGTTTACCCAACAATCTTTTCCGTTTTGTGCCCTTAACGCACTTGGACCTCCGGGGGAACCGGCTGAAACTTCTGCCCTATGTGGGGCTGTTGCAGCACATGGATAAAGTTGTGGAGTTGCAGCTGGAGGAAAACCCCTGGAATTGTTCCTGTGAGCTGATCTCTCTCAAGGACTGGTTGGATAGCATCTCCTACTCTGCCCTGGTGGGGGATGTGGTTTGTGAAACGCCCTTCCGCTTACACGGCAGGGACTTAGATGAGATATCCAAGCAGGAACTTTGCCCAAGGAAACTTATTTCTGACTATGAGATGAGGCCCCAGACGCCTTTGAGCACCACGGGGTATTCCCACACCACCCCGGCCTCAGTGAACTCCGTGGCTACTTCTTCCTCTGCTGTTTACAAACCCCCTTTGAAGCTCCCTAAGGGGACTCGCCAACCCAACAAGCCCAGGGTGCGCCCCACCTCTCGGCAGCCCTCCAAGGACTTGGGCTACAGCAACTATGGCCCCAGCATCGCCTACCAGACCAAATCCCCGGTGCCTTTGGAGTGTCCCACCGCGTGCACTTGCAACCTGCAGATCTCTGATCTGGGCCTCAACGTAAACTGCCAGGAGCGAAAGATTGAGAGCATCGCTGAGCTGCAGCCTAAGCCCTACAATCCCAAGAAAATGTATCTGACGGAGAACTACATTGCTGTCGTCCGCAGGACAGACTTCCTGGAGGCCACAGGGCTGGACCTCCTGCACCTGGGGAACAACCGTATCTCCATGATCCAGGACGGCGCTTTTGGGGATCTCACCAACCTGAGGCGCCTCTACCTGAATGGCAATAGGATCGAGAGGCTGAGCCCAGAGTTATTCTATGGCCTTCAGAGCCTGCAGTATCTCTTCCTCCAGTACAATCTCATACGGGAGATTCAGTCTGGGACTTTCGACCCTGTCCCAAACCTCCAGCTGCTATTCTTGAATAACAACCTCCTGCAGGCCATGCCCTCAGGTGTTTTCTCTGGCCTGACCCTTCTCAGGCTAAACCTGAGGAGTAACCACTTTGCCTCCTTGCCGGTGAGTGGAGTTTTGGACCAGCTGAAGTCGCTCATCCAAATCGACCTGCATGACAACCCTTGGGATTGTACCTGCGACGTGGTGGGCATGAAGCTGTGGGTTGAGCAACTCAAAGTGGGCGTCCTGGTGGACGAGGTGATCTGCAAGGCGCCGAAGAAATTCGCTGAGACCGACATGCGCTCCATCAAGTCCGAGCTGCTGTGCCCAGACTATTCGGATGTGGTGGTTCCCACGCCCACGCCCTCCTCCATCCAGGTTCCTGCGAGGACCAGCGCTGTGACTCCTGCCGTCAGGTTGAACAGCACCGGGGCTCCTGCGGGTTTGGGGGCAGGCGGAGGCGCGTCGTCGGTGCCCTTGTCGGTGTTAATCCTCAGCCTACTGCTGGTTTTTATCATGTCCGTCTTCGTGGCCGCTGGGCTCTTCGTGCTGGTCATGAAGCGCAGGAAGAAGAACCAGAGCGACCACACCAGCGCCAACAACTCGGACGTGAGCTCCTTCAACATGCAGTACAGCGTGTACGGCGGCGGCGGCGGCGGCGGAGCAGGCGGCCACCCGCACGCGCACGTGCACCACCGCGGGCCCGCGCTGCCCAAGGTGAAGACGCCGGCGGGCCACGTATACGAGTACATCCCCCATCCGCTGGGCCACATGTGCAAAAACCCCATCTACCGCTCCCGAGAGGGCAACTCCGTGGAGGATTACAAAGACCTCCACGAGCTCAAGGTCACCTACAGCAGCAACCACCACCTGCAGCAGCAGCAGCCGCCGCCGCCGCCGCCGCCGCAGCCCCAGCAGCAGCCCCCGCCGCAGCTGCAGCTGCAGCAGGGGGAGGAGGAGAGGCGGGAAAGCCACCACTTGCGCAGCCCCGCCTACAGCGTCAGCACCATCGAGCCCCGGGAGGACCTGCTGTCGCCGGTGCAGGACGCCGACCGATTTTACAGGGGCATTTTAGAACCAGACAAACACTGCTCCACCACCCCGGCCGGCAGTAGTCTCCCGGAATATCCCAAATTCCCGTGCAGCCCCGCTGCTTACACTTTCTCCCCCAACTATGACCTGAGGCGCCCCCATCAGTATTTGCACCCGGGGGCAGGGGACAGCAGGCTGCGGGAACCGGTGCTCTACAGCCCCCCGAGTGCTGTCTTTGTAGAACCCAACCGGAACGAGTATCTGGAGTTAAAAGCAAAACTAAACGTTGAGCCGGACTACCTCGAAGTGCTGGAAAAACAGACCACATTTAGCCAGTTCTAAAAGCAAAGAAACTCCCTTGGAGCTTTTGCACTTAAAACAAGCAAGCAAGCAAACACACACGGTGAACACACTTGATTAATTGTGTTGTTTCAACGTTTAGGGTGAAGTGCCTTGGCACGGGATTTCCCAGCTTCGGGCGGAAGATACGGAAAGGGTGTGCAATTTCCTTTTAATTTTACACGTGGGAAACATTTGCGTAAACTGGGCACATCACTTTCTCTTCTTGCGTGTGGGGGAGGAGAGGAGAAGGGCTTTACGGAGGGCAGTTTGCTGCGCGGGTGACTTGTTAAAGGTCGCAGTCATTTTTTGTAGATGTTGAAAGTGCTAAGAATGGTGAAAGATGGCAGCGCATAGATTCTATTCTTCCTTCATTTTACTCCCTTCCACCTCCCCTTCTCCTTCTTTAAGCCATGGGTGCGTCTAAATGGCTTTTGTGGAGAGACTAGCACACCCCAACTTTAATAGGAAGTTTGTTCTCTTTCACCCTTCCCCTCCCCCTTGGCTTCCCTCCCTTCCTCCCTTCTCATTCCTTTCCTTTGTTTTTAAAGGATGTGTTTGTATGCATTCTGGACATTTGAATTAAAAAAAAAAAAAGTATTGTGATCTTGAAAAGGATCACCATAGATGTGGACAAATCATTAAAAATTACAGAGCTATATGATCCATAATTGATTAGTCAAAATAACTTATTGATGAAATATACAAATATTTTATTGTAGCACCTATTTTTATATGCACATTTAGCATTCCTCTTTCTTCACTATTTAGCCTATGATTTCGCAGAGGTGTCGCACTGTATTAGGAGCTGCATTTCCAAAACTGAAGTGATATTAGGAAGACATTTTAAATCATTAAAAATGTGGAGTACTTAATGGCAAAATCTTTGTAAGTTGATGCAACCCACCCAATTGGATCTGTAATTTAAAAAAAAAAAAAGCTGATAGTATCCCAATGTATAAAAATAGGGCAATTAATTGGGCCATGTGAGTGAGAATTGTGTGCAAGTTTTTGGTTTCATTAGCGAAGATTTAACAGTATTTTTATTAGTGAACCAAAATTATATATTGATTTGACTACTATTGTAGCCAATTTTCCATTATTAAACCAAACCCAGTTGCGTTTGTACAGATCCACATGTACTGGCACCTCAGAAGACCAAATGATGGACTGAACAAGTCTCTATACAATGTCTTTCTTTATTCCTGTGGGCAGCAAGCAATGATGATAACCACAACCAGGATCTCTGTAAGATGGGGCTACTGTTGTTACAGTCTCATATGTATCCCAGCACATGTAATTTTTTAAATAGTTTCTGAATAAACACTTGATAACTATGTCAAATATGAGGGATTGAAGTAATGATTACTTAAAAGTGCAAAAGATTTAACTGTGTGCTTGATGGAATCTCCATTGTTAACAATTTAACAATAGTAGCTAAACTTTATTCTTAATAGAGAACATTTTCCCCCTAATTGTCAAAATTTTAAAATATACATATATACATATGTAATTTATGCCTTTGTTGGTTCAGGGAAGTATGTTTTTCTGAATGTGCCACTTAATATGTTTATTAATTATATTTCAATTATATACATTGTTTCCTTACTGAAGTATTCGTCTAATACATGGAGCATGGTAAGTAATCTATTGCATATTCATTTTTCTCTCAATATTATGTATTTTGTCATATCAGTATTATTTATTTAGTCTACAATTTTCCATAGTTTACATATTTTAACTTGTGTAAAACTACCTTCAACAATTACGATGGATATTTTATCTAAAGTTGATCTATATCCTGAGTACTCAAAATGTTGTTGGATATGAGCTATTTGCCTCCGAATAAGGTTTGCCCGTTGAACTTAGGTTAGTATTGAAGGATAAGAAATGTTTGAGCTGATCTTAAAGGGCCATGTGCGTCATTGCTATTGGTGGATCTCCCAGTAATCTCACCTGAAATGTGTACAATATCAAGGGCTGTTCATGAACTTTAATTTCCATGGCATTCTGCCACAAAGAGGCAGCATTCACCCATGAGTAAATTGACAGTAACTACTTGAATTCGATTTGAACAGGTGGTAACAGTTTCCCAGAGGATTAAAAAAAAAAAAAAATAAATGCAATGCTACATTGACCAAGTGCAGTAAGCTATCAATATTCTTTGCAACGTTTTCCCTTCCATTTTTTTTCAAAGGGGGAAGGAATAAGCTTAATAATGTTATGATATTATCATGAGAAAAAAATGTATCTCTTGCTCTTCATCTACCTCCTCTATATTAGATCCAGGATTAGAAAAGAAAAAATAAATGCTAGCATTTGACTTCACAATTGGGATTGTTATTATTCTTCACAATGACAGTTATTTTTTTTACTTTTAACAATGTCAGTATCACTTCCTCTACCTTATTATATGTAGATATGTGTTTCAGAAATTATAAGATATTAATGTAAAGTGGAGTCCTCCATGTAACTAAGTTTTATTTATTAATTGATGCATAAAACAATAAGATAAGAATTACATGAAATTCGAGATATAGTTCTGGACAATATGAGTAACTTCCAAAGAAAGTTCAGTGATGTATCTTTCAAAGATTTACAAAATTTTATTTTTTTCAAACCAGCATTAATTCATATAATCCTGTCACGTGTACTTTCTTTTGGTGGTTCATTTCTATGTTTACTCTTTCTTCTTAAGGTGTTCAACATATATTTTAATGTCTAAAGTGACAATTATATGATTTATTTGCAAAAATTATTTCTAATTTTTAAATTGTATTTTCTCATTGTATTAAGAGAATAAAAGTAAATTCATCCTGGCTCTAATAAACTTGAACAAAATTAACCATGTCAGAATCATGAAAATGTATAGAGTTAAAAATGAATTTTTTTGTCCTTATAAATGGTTTCCTGCCAATACATTAACATTTAACACAGAACACAGCTTGTGTGTTTTTGAATATTTGATTTTTGGTATCTCAGGTTGTTCACTGAGTAAATTAGACTGGGCATATCAGTGGTATATGATTGGATTAAGGAACCCTGCAAATTCTCTCCATAGAATTTTGGGGCGCAACAGAATGTAATGTTTTAGGCATCAATTAAAATTTGGATGCAAACTAATCTTACTCTTTGTGCTTGTTCTATATAATGTGTTGCATAATTTCATATAAATATTTTCTAGGTAGATATTACAAAATATTATTTTTATCTCTATATGATTGTAGTGTAAATACTTAAATGATCTTAGAGAAAATAAATATATTCCATGTAAATGTAGATAATTTGTATGCTAATATACAAAATCATTTACAGCTAAGCTATTGATTGAAGTTGTGGGTTAAGTAACTTTAGCATAAATATCACACTCAGAGCACATCTTTTTTTCAGGCAAAATTAGAATCTCTACATATGAAAAGTAGAAAATTTTGGCAAATGTCCTGGGTGTCCATATCTGTCCCTCACCACTGTTTCCTCAACCCCCCAAAAATCAAAATAGTGTATAATGAGAACATCTACACATAATGTTGAAAAAGTTATAATTTAAGAATTTAAGATTGCAGTTTGTTGCTTTCTACATTAATTCTATTCTTGTTAATACCTTGTATTGTTGGCAAAATATGCAAATGAATAGGTATAATTTTCTTTTTCTAATGTATTATGTATTATTTCTCTCTTCCCTTTTCCTTGCATCTCCTCCTTCTCTCTTTTTTTCTCTCTTATCTTTTCTCTTCATTATTTTTAGTAGGGCAAGGGAAAGTGAAAATAGTTCAGTCCTTGTTTGTAATGCCAAAAACTGGCTATTTAATTTCAAGAGCTCCATAGATGGTTCCCAAAGTCAAATGACTCCAAATTAAGGAAAATAAAGCAAATCACGAATATGCTGTCCAATTCATTTGGAAATATGCTCTTCTTGCACTTTTCAGATGGCTCCAAATTAAGATATTTCCAGGTGTGACAAAATGTTTGGTATGGCTACTTTCAAGGATAAATTACACTAAGTAAAGGAACTAGAAACAGCAAAAGAAAAGATTTAAACACTAGAAGCCAGACACGGTTAATTAATTAATTTTAAAATGTTGCAAAAGTGGTAGTTAAACTATTATCAAATTAACTATCTTACTTATGGAAAACGTTCCTCAAACCTTTTGAAATTCTCCACTATTTAGAAAATTATGTGGGATAATAAAACTAAATTAGTTGATTAGATATTAGTCATCTGCCTAAAAATAATCATCTAACATCAATATGCAGATAAACCTTATATGCATTAATATTGCATTTGATAGCTGTACATTTTTACCCTTCATTTTAATTCAATTGAATGCCTTTCTATGACTACTTATAAATATTTTCATGAGTATATGTAACGTATATATGACATACAAAAACAGATAGGTTATTAAAGAGTCATTGCATATACAATTTGCATACACAAATGTTATCCAGGGTTCTTTGTATGTTAATATTTTTAAAAATTTCAAATTTTACTTTTATTTCCATGCTTTGGAAATGTTATATTGGGGGAAAGAATAGAATTTGATGCAGTATAATCTTTGAATGTGACAATAATATAATACTTTTTTTTTCCTTACTCTGTTTTTAGCAGACCATTTGGCTTATAATACAAAGGTCAAATATTTCTCATGGTAATTTTACTAGTATTATAAAATGAATAATTTTTGTACTCATTTTTTTAAAAAACAACATTTAACTTTAAGTTTAAATGAGATTATATCTTACAAAAAACTTTTGAAGACTCAAATATAAATATTTCATAAAGAATTAATGTAATGCAAATATGAAATACTTTGACTTTCTTATTTTCTGTTTAATTTAAAAATAAAAATGTAATGATATATTACATAATGCTAAGTAGTCAGAAACATTTTTATTAGATATTAGGAAAGTCATTTTATAAAAGAAAGTAATATTCATAGAGATATGTTGAATAGAAATCTTAAAATGAGTTTTTTAAATTAGGCATCTTTATTAGGAAACATGAAGGGACATTATATATTTCTCCTACAAAATGACATGTTTATCTTTAAAAGTTACATATGTTTCTAAAAGTGGAAGTTGTGAACCATTGTTTTGAAAGTTGAGATTTTTGGTTTATTGATTTTCTTAAAAATTTAACATATGCACTGATAGAATTGTGGCTTTATATTGAAGGATCATTAATATCTTGATCTACATTAGACCAATTTATTTGTAAATCATACATTTTAAGAAAGTATTCAACATATCACCATATAAATTCACTTCAAACTTAATTGTGATACTTCAGTATTGAATCATATTTATAATCATGTGCTCTGTTACATTTTAGTTCTGTGGAATATGCATACTTTAGATTTTTACTCACATTTCATTTCTATTAGCAGTGATAATTTCTAGCGTTACTATCTAACACAGTTTTTAAGAATATTATTGTATAGTTCATTAAAAACAAAGCTTATTATTGGATATGGAAACCAAAATTGCTGTATGTTTTTAATTTGGTATGTGACTTTTTAAATAAAATATAAAAGGTGGCAGTAACCCCTTGTAAACTGATTAGCAAAATTTTTTCCAGATACTGTCATACTTTGGCCACGTTTTATACATGAAAGAGTCATCAGAGTCATGCAGAATAAAATTTTAAATATTAAACATAAAAATCGATTTATAAAAATGAATACTTGATCAATAAATATATCTCACATGTAATGATATATTTAAATAAATTATCATGCAAAATCATGCTTTTTAGCATTACAACTATAGAATACTTTTTGCTATATGTAAGTCCTAATTTAAAAGGGTGTTTCAATTCTGAAAATATTATTAATAATAGAAAATTTATAGCTATCAATTTTATTTAAATCCTGTGCTTTAATAATCAACTCTAAATTGATATTACTGAACTCTGCTCTTGCTAAAGTCCTCTAAAAATAGACAAATCCACATATTATAATTTCTTCATATTCTTTCTGTTTGGTTGGCATTTGGGTGTCAAATATTAAAATATGCAGTTTTGAACTAACACTGTCTAAATTGTAATTAATTTGTTTTCATTCAAACAGTATCCTTCAATTTTATAATTATCCAAAAATTTTTAAAGCTAGTGACCATGAGCCTATAGGTGCTTCCAAATAAGAACATTGAAATCCAGAAATAACTCATATTTCAGAAAACATTTAAAGTCATTCATTAAACTTTTATTTAAACTTATTCAATCAGTATAGTGATATTTTTGTTACCTGGTTATGATCAAAGATCCCCAATTCTTAGATGAAAACTTAGTATCTCACTAGAATTTTTTTAAATGTAAAGATAAATTGAGTGAGTGGATTCTAAAT